ACAAGGTCTTAAATAATCAGGCCCCATCTTATCTTAATGACCTTGTAGTACCATATCACCCTATTAGAGCACTTCGCTCTCGCTCTGCAGGCATATTGTGTTAGGATGCCTGGGTCGTTGACCCAGGGCTTTGAGTTTATTATATTATTTGTCATTTCTAGTCTTCGGTTTCTTTGTTAGAGTTCTGTCTTATGGTTCACGTCTCTGTTCCCTCTGTTGCAGTGCCTGTGAGTCTGTGTCTTTAAGTTCAGTCTGTGTTATGTTTCCTGTTTTACTTTGGAGGTGCATGTCTTATGTTAATGCATCTGGTTTTGCTTCCCCTGTTTCGTTAGGCCTGATTTGCCCCAGCTGTGTTTCCCTCCTGTTGCCCGTTCCCTGATTGCTCCTCTGTGTATTTAAGCCCTGTGTTTCAGTTTGTCTATGTTGTGATCTACCCTTATCTTGCTGTGTGATTTGTTTGCGTAAGTTTATCTTGGAGGCTTAGTTTTGTTGCCCTCATGCTGTGTGGATCTCCCTGTGTCTCACTGTGAGTTTAGTTTAGTTTAGTTTGCTTTTGTATAACTTTCCCCTGCCAGCAAATAAAGCTGAGTTCTTTGTGTTTAAACGTGCCTAATTTTGGGTTCAACTCCTGTCTGCCACACAGCGATTCATGACAGAACGATGCGACCAGAACATGGACCCTGCAGACTCTTCAGCCTTTGAGTTTAACGCTGAGATGGAGCAGATGATTAAGCTTCTTGACCGCATTGCCCAGGCCAAGGATTTGAGAACAATGGCGGTTGGGCTAAGCGCAGTAGACGCTGTCATTCGGAGCAACCCTCGGCTAAATCTGTTTTCTACGGCCACTGTGCTGGGCAGCTCCATAGCTGCCTGGAGGGAGCAAGTCAGGGCTGGCGAGCTTGCTCTCTCTATTTCCACCTCCACTTCTTTACCGCTGCCCCAGGACAACACACACTCTCCACCTGCCTCAACGCTGTCACAGACTTCGTCTCCTTCCTCCCGTCAGCCGGGACCTTGTTCGCCTGTCCGTTCACCTGCCTTTTTCCTGGCGGCTATGTGGTCGGAGGAGGAGGAGGTGGTCTCCATTTCTCCACCGGTTCCCTCTTCCAGAAGGAAACGTCGCCCTTGCCATCGCAACTCCTCTCCTCAGTCCTCTGTTCTGCAACCTGGTCCTGCTGGAGGGTCCGAGGGGCCCGTCCGGCCTTCATCTGTTGTTCCCGCTGGGGGTTCTGGAGAACCGCACCAGCCTTTGTTTGCCTTCCGAGGGGCCCGTCCAGCAACCTGCCTCCGCTGCAGAATCCGGGTTCCTTCTATATCCATCATTCGTAGATAAGGACTAGCATTATCTAGTATCCACCCTCGACACAATTATTCGAGACCACTCTCTAAGTCGACTCACGGTTCTGACTGCTTCTAAACGGCTTATCATCTCCGATGAAGTTCAGTGGCCTCGCGCTCTGCTCTCGGACGATTTGTGGGGTTATTATTATAGAAGATTATTTTCCCCTAATCAGTCTTTTAATTCATCAACTCCCCCCAAGCTGCTGCTGTCACTTCTGTTCATTCAGAAATCAGCTCAGTTTTTATCGGTACCTTATCTGAACTAATTAATATGCTAAGCACCCCCTCTCCATCTTCTACTCAAAGACAAGCTCACGCAAGCTTTACGAGCCGTCAAGCGTTACCTGAAATCCAGTGTAGAATGGGAATATGTTTCAGTAAACAGGTAAATAAAACTTCTGTCAGTGTCCAAATACATATGGACCTAACTGTATATGTCAAATCATAGCAGTATTCAAAGGGGCCTAAATGTGTATTGAAAGTGTTTTTCCATTCACTTTCTCTAAACTTCGCTAAGTAAAGCAGAGAGGAGTGGAAACAGCCCTGTACTACCATACAGCTCATTCACAAACAGGCTGCACAGAAACATGTACATAGGTTCATGTAAGCTTCTGTTCACACAGATAACCACAATCAGCAGCAGGTTCGCACAAATGATTAAAGAATATAAAGACAAGAGAAGCAAGAAAAACAAGTATTTTGTAGGCCCGGCATCAAAGTAGGCACCAAGGATGAAGTATGAGCCCTCTGTGAAGTTTATCATGATGCAAAGGTCCGTCACAATCAGCTTAATGAACAATACTTACACCAAATATTTTCATATAAAAACACACATGAACTGATGAGAAATGTGTAACTGCATAACAATATTTCACAGAGCAAATGAAAGGAACCTGTCAGAGTTTTTAACTGAAAACCTCCAAAAAGTCAAAAAGCAGTGAGTGCATCAGACCAGCTTCTTTTAAAGCCTTCGGCTCAGCAGACGCCCCCAGCAGCAGAATGACATCATCCTCTGAACCGTCCACTGGCTGCTGACTGCTGTGAAATGTTAACATCAGCTTTCAAACTGGCAACATAACAGGGTGTGCTTCCAATGGCATTTACAATGATCCACAGGGATGGGTGCTGTTTGTGTGTGAAGTTTTCCTATTTTAGTTAGAAGACCCAAATGCCATGCTGCAATACTACACTGCTGTGGTAGCCAGCATTTCAAATGCAGGTTGTGTGGTTTATTACTGTTACTGAAGGATACCCGCTGTAAGTGTCACAGAAATGGCTTATGTATAAAGAAGTTTAATAGATGGTTCCAGCAGTTAAAATGTTCTTGCTTGTACATTTCTGTGGTCAACATTGTAAAGGTGCGTTTTCTTGTACAAGAGACATGCTTATCTTGTCACAAAGAACCAGTTTTTGTTACACCGCTATTATCGCGAGGTTTGGGCGTGATAATATAGGCTGTGAGCCCACGTTTAATAATCACGCTAAGGAGTTCAGCGAGCTATCTGCAAAGCCTGGTTAGTCTACCAGCTGTTCAAGAATGCACAGGACTGTAAAGTTATTGTTCTAGGACCTCCGAAGTGGCAGGTGGCCACGAACCTTTGTGTTTTATGTTTGTAGTTTTCACGTCGTTCAATAAATGCAGCAAAGCGCCCGTCTTGAAGAAGCCGTGCCTGTGTTGTCATTTCGGAGTTATACTCGCCACACCAACACCAACCAGATGTTTAAACCTTAATATAAATGAGTAACAGTAGGTGGACATTAGGTAAGGCTGCACTTTTTGCAGCGATCTCGTATAGAAAACTATTCCGTGCGTATATAAAACAGGTCAGCGGCTCCGAACCGTAGTAAAGGACCTCCGGCTGATACGTCAGGTTCGTGTCGGGCTCGTAGCTGAAAACTAGCTTTACTTTGTTGTCTGGGTCAACTTTGCTAGCAGAGACAGAGAGAGGCGTTGACAGGCTGCTGCAACGGAGCTTATTGTTTCAGAGGAAAACACGAACACGGCGTACAGTCGAGTCTTAACAGCTTACTTACAGCTGGGCTCGTCAGGCTCTCTTCTTGGCTGCAGTGGTTATTATTATATTTACATGCTTCCAGCTCCCGTTTCTGCTCGATGACAGCTCATACACAGACACTCGCTCACAGACACTTAACGGGTATGGCAGTCCATTCTCCCTGCAGCACGGACTACACTGCCCATGAGGCTACATGCTTTCAGGCTATGCCTGTAACACTCCGCTATTACCTTCATATTAAATAACGTTAACTAGTAATGACTTCATCAGCTACTCTTA